TATCACATGTGCGCCAACTTACTGTGTACGGGCCTGCACAGACCTCTTCTAAGTGTCATTGATATGAACATACATGCTTTGCAGTATTCATGTAAACATACTCATAAAATGTAATGAGTCTTTTCAGAATTAAAAACGTCTCCTACTGTCGCTGTTTTTCTCATTTATTTGGGTATCCGTGGAGGGGTTCAGCGGGTGATGTGTTTGGCAACAACCAAGATTTTTAAGTGTACCCAGCTACTGGACTGATCCATTTGGAAATAGGGATGATAGATACTTACTGTAATAACATATCAATTGTTTGCTGTGTATTCTGAGGTTTCTTGTGATTGCTACCGTACATTGCAGTCTGAATGCTATGACACTGTAAGTAACATACAAAATAAAATTAGTCACAACATAATGATCCTTTAATGTCATTCCCAACCTTCTTGGAACAAAGTACTTCTGTGATGTAGAGCCTACACCCACTGATGGAGGCTGTTACAACATCAATTTTGTTTTACACTCTAGTTGTTTGTGTAAACTATACACCTGAACAATTTTCACAGTCCATTTGGTATTCAGTTTACACAGAGTTCACTGTATGAAAGACTTGCTTAAACTGAACAAATTTCAGTTCATTTGGTGATGTTTATAAACCATATATCTCTGTAAACTGAACAATTTTCAGTTCATTTGGTGATGTTTATAAACCATATATCTCTGTAAACTGAACAATTTTCACAGTCCATTTGGTATTCAGTTTAGACAGAGTTCACTGTATGAAAGACTTGCTTAAACTGAACAAATTTCAGTTCATTTGGTGATGTTTATAAACCACATATCTCTGTAAACTGAACAATTTTCACAGTCCATTTGGTATTCAGTTTAGACAGAGTTCACTGTATGAAAGACTTGCTTAAACTGAACAAATTTCAGTTCATTTGGTGATGTCTATAAACCATATACATGTATCTCTATAAACTGAACAATTTTCACTTCAGTTTAGACAGGGTTCACTGTATTTGCTTAGATCCTAACCAAAAGTGATTCATTGTTGTATCAGCTAAACACAATTGGTGTCTACACATCCACAATACATAAATGTGGAAACATTTCTGTCAATGTTTAAGATGAATTGCTCATCTCTTGCTTTGGAGGGACTATGATCTGTTTGACATGCGCCCTCTATGGCAGAAAAGAACACACATCACACTGTAGACCTAACTATTAACAAGAGGGTTGGCAAGGGGTATTTTCGTAAGCTGTAATCAATTGATTTTATTCTCGTAATAATGTAATTAAAATAAATAAAAACGTAAAAATAAAAACGTGTAAAATATAATCAGCTATTTTATTCGTCTGTAATTTGTACAAAGACCTTATTTTTTGGTATTTTCTTATTTTCCACATTAAATGTCGTATTACGCAATTTGTTTACTGTAAATGGAACTTTCATTTCATTTCTTGTAAAAACAAAAAATGTCTTTTTTATTTCCTGTAACCTGTATCGGCTATCCTCCTTTCCCCCTCCCTAACAAAAGTTGTACATGTATCAAATTTTATTAGAGCAAGGTTGCTTATAATTTATACCAATTTCCTTTAATGAGCAAGACAAATAGATAAACAGCAGAATCACCACATCATTTACTTTGCATTGAACCACCAGATTCACCCACATCACATCAACACAGTACATAGTTTACCTCGGTAATCCTGGAATATGCTCTTATATCCTTAAATAAACGTTGGTGGCATCTCAAAAGTGATAAATTTTGTTGCAATGTCAAACGATATAATACCTTACCCCAATAACATTTCTAATTGAAGATGGGCCATCATTTGTAAAAGACAACATCAAAAGTTCAATGTAGGATAAAAAACTTAATTCCTTTAAAATTTTCCCAAACAATCGGACAGTAGTATGGCATAGCAGTTGGTTGTCTAGGTCCATGCCCTGAAATTTACCTCATTTGAGGCACATACTTACACTCGGACCAAGGAAGTATAAACAGATACCTCCATGGTCAGACCAAACCATTTTCTCATCTTTGATGGGTTTTTTCATTTTCTGTTATTTTTGTCCATGATTGGATAGAAAAAAAAAACGAACTACAAATACTCCAAGATTTTTTTTACTTCATTAAAAAATAAAATTGTTTTTGTAGGATGGAAACTTTTTGAGGTCAAGCCCCACCCGACCCCCCATTCCCATCCCCAAAACTAAATAAATTAAGTTTTTTATCCGACATTGATCTTTTGACGTCGTCCCTAAGGTGGAACTTAGTTTCTTCTCCAGGTAAAGTAGCTTAAAATAAATGCTCATGACTTTAATATATAATATATTCCTGTATGCGTTTTAGGATTCTAGCTAAGCACCACCCATACAAACACACATGCCTTTTCCATAAGAAATACAGGTCCATTCCAAATATTGGAGTTTTGTCTCGGTTACTTACCTTCCTGAAATGCTTGAGTGCCTTATCCATTTTACCCTGCGATAACCTGATAGAGCCAAACAACTTGTAAGCGTCTGCTACCTCTTCACTCATCTCACCATAGCATGCAGATTTTGACTCGATGATTGTTTTCAATATAGTGATTGCCTCCTATAGGAAGGGACAATGAGGTAGGACAGTATATATACCGGGTAAATTGAACACAATCACAGATATGAAATCAAGATTGACTTTGTAACTGACTACAACCTTTTCACCACCAGTTCCCTTTTTCATCACAATATAGTCCCATTTATAGTTTGCACTATCCTTCAAAAGAAGCAGAAGATTGGAACAGAAATTGCCAAATTGTTTCAGTAAAAACAGAAAATTGACTAAAATTGTGTCTGTTGGCTCCAAAATTGAGGTTCATTTCCAAAAATTATTGAAGTATATGAGAAAAAAGTGCAGAAAAATTTGGGCGAGAAAGTCTAGTGGTGAAAAGGTTCAAATAGATCCATGTCACTATGTTCTCTGTGTATGGGTTATAAAATGACGCACCTCTCATATTTAATTTTAACCTTTCACCACCAGTTTCCTCTTTTCATCACAAACTCACAAAATAGTCCAGTTTATAGTCTGCACTTTCCTTATATAATGATTGGGACAAAAATAGCAAAATTTTTCGAGTTAAAACTGAAAATTGACTCAAATTTTGTCTGTTGGCTCTAAAATTAGAGTTCATTTCCAGAAATATTGAAGAATTAAGAAAAAAAGTGCAGAAAAATTTGGACGAGAAAGTCTAGTGGTGAAAAGGTTAAAGTTGCATTCCCGTTTTGCAAATACATGTATATGATACATGAAATGTGTGAAAATGATGATGCTTTAGATAACAAAAATAACAATGACTTTCAGGACACCCAAAAAAAGGATATATGTAACTATGAATATTAAAGCGGTGATTTTATGCCACAATTCCCAAAAAAATTGTGTATATGTGGAGAAACAAAACAAACAAACTGGAAATTACTTCACATAGCCTTAATTTTTGCGAATTTCGGGAAATTCGTGAGTGAGTGACAATCGCAACATTTTGTAGCAGTCTAAATTCTCTCTAGGGTCATATGCCACAGTGTCAATGGAATTCATGAAATTTGGTCTTCAAGAATGGTGGAAAATCATTGTCTTGTGAAAATTACTGAGGGTAAGCGATTTACAGTTAATTGTAGCTTTCAATAATGTTCACAAAGCTATCACCAACTACTGTAAATTACTTTATTTTAGCTAAACTTAATTTTCAATTGAAATGTGTTTTGTATAGAATTTATTTTCACTGAATTTTGAGTTACAGGTAAAAAGGTAATAAATTCCCTGGATTTTATTACAGACATTCCATGTAATCTTCCTAGCTAATACGATACTACTCAATGTGTCTATTGGCACTGGCACCTTCCAAATCATTTGCATAATTATGTATGCGTATTCCTACCTCTTGTCTGTCTGTCCTCAGTAGTAATTTACATAAATCGTCCTGTACTTGTAACGTGTTCTGATGGTGAGGACCGTACACCAACTGATGTATGCCAAGACTCTCGTCCAGGTATCGCTCAGCAGAAACTAGAAAAGTAAACAAGATTCAGGAATATCAGGTATACTATAAATACGCTTCTAAACAATAGGGATTATTTCCTTGCTTGTCACGCTGTAGTAAACAGCTCCAGCCAAGCTCCGGTGAAGACATGTTTTCTCAAACTTACAGGACGATTATGTTGTGCCAAAGTGGATGCATGTGACTATGAATATCACAGCAGTGACTGTGAGTAGTATTTATGACAATAAATAGTGTACCGGGTACAAGCTGAGATTTTGGCGAATAAAAGTCAAAAACACGAACCGCGCTACTAATCTCGAATAATTAACTACTGTCAATCAAAGTCACGTGATGTTGGACCGCTGAAACAGGATGCGTCATAGGCTATGCAAGTGATTAACAACACTCATTAGCATAGCCACACCTCCAATTCACACTTGCCCGGGGCAAGTGAATTGGACCTTTAATTATTCACTGGGTTTTAATTTTGCTTATTTTGCTAAATTAAAACCCAGTGAATATGTAAAATTTAGCATAGGACACATTATCTAAATGATAAAATCATGAATTTAAAACCCTCTGAATATGCCTGAACTGATAAATCAGTGAAATTTAAACCCAGCGAAAATTAGTCATTTTACAGTATTTGCGGCTTTCTGTGGCCCGTGATTACCAGGTGATTACGTCAGCAGGTTTACAGCTTGTTGAAAGTTCAATAACAATACGCACAATCTTATGCAAACAAAACAAAAACACAAAATAAACGCAACTTTTTTAAGATTTCATAGTGTTCCAAATTAACATTTATCTACCATACCATGTGATAGATAAATAATTGGAAGACAGTTTTAGAGATCATAGCACGACTGGCTATGAACAAAACAGCAGAATGCATGGTGTATTCAGACCACAATACCATTAAGATACTGAATTTTGCATATTGTCTATTCATGCAATAATTACAAGATTGAACGTTTACACATAAATTATCGACTTACTCTCAGATTCCTCTGTACCAGTCTCTGCATACGCCAACGCCAATGTATGTGCTGACTGTGCCACTTCTTTACTCTGACCTTTGTATCTAGCAAAAACATAATAAAAAGTCATATTGATGTAGCTGTACTAAACATAACTGCAGGACAAACAAACTATGTTAATTATTTCAGGGGGGGGGGTTACTTGCAAAAAATACTGACAGGGATGTGTAGCTGGTTGTTTGAAACCCCTACCCATTATCAGACAGAAATAAACTCAAATTGCCTACCCCTTTTCAGACAAACTGTGGATATTTGACACCCCTTTCCAGACAGTAAGCATAAATAGTACCAAGGGAAAAGCAGGTGGACTCCCGGAGATGGACTTTGACGATCAAAATGAAGTTACAGAAAGAAAAAATCAGCTTCATTCTTCTGATTGTTGGATCATTCAAGCTCTAGAGACAGTCTTAGAAAATATGGATCCCTTTTTAGACAGAATAATGTAAA